ACGAGTTTCTCGCGTCAGTACGAGATGGCGTGAGCGCACAACCAGCGTTTCGCGCAAAAATGACGAATTTCGTACTCGTAGTCGTACTCGTACTCCTTGCTAAAACTCTCTACTATCTCGCCGCCAGCTACTTTAAGTTCTTTTTATTGTACTTAACTCCTTCTCGTCTCGGGTAGAATTAATTTTAAAATAACGATGTACTGACATTAAAATGGTCTTTATTACAACTTAACTGTGCTACAACAGGCATATATCCGTAGTTCTCCCTCGTGCAACATCAGAAGACTACCACTCGACTAGTAGATCTCTCATCACCAATTTCATTTTAAAAAATTAAAGCACATTGGCAATAAAAAAATATCAAGGAAATATTAAGGGATAAGACTTTACTTTTTCATCATCTTTTGCGTGCCAAAAAGTAAAGGCTCAGGCCTTTAATTTTTGGGGCTTAACAGATTGTTTACCAGTGTATATCTTGCTTAGTTTTCAAAATATTTCGACTGAAAAAAGTGAGCTGTCCCCTGTCTTGGATTATTGAGGATATGCATGTTACGTCAAGAGAGGGTCACGCCAATTTTTTTATGTGGAGAGTTAGCGATTAATAAGGGTCTAAAACCTCGTTTCTGATTTCTGTCTGAAATTTAGAAATGATTAAAAACATTTCAAACAATTTTGAATGTTACTCGGTCATTTTATAGTAGTTTTATACGGTTAACCCAACTCTTGACGTCATCAAAACCATAGTTAATGAGGTCAAGAATTAGTCCAAGATTGGCGGACAGCTCATTAATTTCGGTCTTAATATTTCGAGAACTAAGCAAGATATGACAAATCGGTAATAGTTTAATATATAATTTTAAGAGTTGTTTTGAATGAGACGAACTAAAAAAGATCTGGATGAACTCAAAAACAATTAGAAATATACACACCATTTTAAAAAAATAGGGTTGCCTTACTCTGAGAGTCCGATTTTTTGAAAAAAACTGGCAAAAAAGTTAAGGTGTTAACCCCTAATAACGTTTTGTACATTTCCCCCCGTTTTGTCATTTTGGAAAAATGTGGAAAAATAAGCAAGAACCCCTTACCAGTAAGTTTTCGAAAAAAGCAAAATGAACACGAACAAGAAAAATATATTAGAATTTTCCATAGTATTTACATTTCAAACTATACACAATTATTTATAACTTTTGCAACAGTATATGAAAACGTGAACAGAAAGTTCGAATGATAACATTTTGAAACAAGTTATGTTTTGTTCTAAGTGAGCGTACCTTATTTTGTATCACACAGCAACGCGACACCACGAAGTATCCAGTGATCAGGATGTTGTAGGGTCTTTAGATTCAGACAAAATATATATGTAAGGTCAGTACGCCGGGGTTTCTTATAGACCGGACATTCGTACAAGCGAGGATCTTTAGCCGAGGTCGTATTTACTGCATATACATGAACCACAGGTAAGTTAGAGAATAGAACTTTCGGGGGAGGTTCGATAAGTCTGCAGTTTCGGCGATCCCAACCAGCGCCATCTAAGAACAGACCATATACGTAGACACCTTCCGCCGGTGCTGACGTCAGATCTTCTTTCATGTACTTTGTGACGTCATTGCTAAGAACAACGCAATCTAGGGCCCAGCCTTTATGAGCTCGCGTGATTTCTTGACGCATAGCTGTAAGGAAACCCTGGAGAGAGAAGAGAAAATTCATGAGGTAATTATTTATAGGGCGTTTCTCGTTTCAAAAATGAAAAAAGGGTAAAAATGGACAAAACGGTTAGCCTTTATTTTTTATCAGATGGAACACTCAGTGGTTTTTTTTTCAATTAAAAATAAGCCGATGGATCGGGTGAACTATGTTCCCCTCACCTGAGGATTAAAGAATCCAGTCATCCAGAAACATATCGGTCTTCCATCAAATAGCCAAGTTGAGAACTGGTTATTTCTCTCGATCAGATCTGTGAACCAAAATCCGAGTGTTGTTGACTCCCAAGATATCTATAGCAATTTAAATGAAAAAATAGAAATATATTGACAATTTAGCGGCCATGCACATCACATATTCAGAAAGGAACGTTTTAAGTTTATATAAATTGTCTCGCAGAAGCCTTACCTTTCTCCAAAGTGCTGGTACTCTTGCATCGTAGATATTATCAAGAGCATCTTTAAGATTCTCACTCATGATGATAGTACCATCAATTGCCAGTTTAAGATCGACTAGAGTGTTTCGTACTATTGTAATAACACGTTGCATGCGATCAACCTCTTGGCGTAGGAAGATATTCATTGAAGTAAGTGCACCCATCTTTTGAAGCCGTGCTTTCACCTGCACAAAAGAAACACACACGAAGATGTATATAAGAATTCACCAACATAATGAACCATAGACAATAGGCTGCGGCGTGAAGCATACATACGTAAAAATCTCACAACTTATCAACAAGATGTGTTCGCAACAGGCTTGTAGCAAGCTTGTCAACATGTTGTAACAATGCTGTTATTTCATCATGTTGCTACAAGGTTGTCACTCACAACTTGTTGAATTGCACGACAATAACAAGTTGTTGAAAACAACTCGTAACAAGTCTGTTGAACTCAACAACCTTGTAGCAAGTTACCAACAAACCGTTGACAACTTGTCAACAAGCTGGGAACAAGCAGTGCGAACACATCCTGATGACAAGTTGTTGGAACAGCATTGCTACAAGTCTGCTGCAGGTTTGTTGCAACTTGTGCGTTTCTACGCGTGTATTACAACTACCTGAAAAAATATAAGAACTTCGACGTTTCGGGAAAGACCCATCGTCTGGAAGTTAAGGCTCAGGTTGAGAGCAAAGGGGGCACCACAAACTACCCTGGGGTCAATAAAGGGGGGACCCCCTTTGGTACGTCTGAGCAAAATTATTTTTCTGGTATCAGGCAAGTTTTATCTCAGGCTACAGGTTCAGCGTAACAGGAAACCCCCTGGGTAATAAGTGATATTATTAAAAGCTATTTCTACTTTCCTTACCTCATGTGGTACATAGTTGGGCGGTAGCTTGTCAAGCATTTCAGAAGCCTGCCTAAACACAACAGTTTCACGTGTCTCTCCACCTCCACCACCACTATCTTTAGGCTGAATGTTAACAATGGTTTCTAGAACGTCCGTCGTTGTCTTCGCTTGATATGTAATGTCCGCATTAGGATGAAGTCCAAATACCTGAAAATATTAACACCTTTTTTAGGTGGGTCTCATTGAAATTTCCGAGTGCTGCACATGCTTCAACCATTATCGGCAACTGCGGCTGCTTTTATCCTCAAAGGAAACAAACAAACTTTAGTTTTCTATAGAAATTCAGGCAAATTCCAGTAATCCTCCATTCAGGCGAACTTTCAACTGGCTCTCAGAAAGCACACCTAGGTCTTAAGCACTGGGCAAACTAGGAAACATTGTTGTGGAAACATTTGTGATTCTCAATGTTTCCTCAAATGTTTCCTCAAATGTTTCCCTGTTTGCCCACCCGTGGAAACATTGTTGCGGAAACAAAAATGTTTCCTAGCGAATTCAGAAACATTTGATGTTTCCCTATGTTTCTCACTAATGTTTCCTATAGTGTTTGCTCACTCTGGGAAACATGGCGAAACATTGGTAGGAAACAATGTTTCCGCAACAATGTTTCCAAGTTTGCCCAGGGCTTTACGCCTATGTTTGGGTTTCCGTTAAAATTCAGATCATTGATTAACTAGTTACCTCTGGCGTGTCAGTTAAAGGAAGTTCTTCTATGGCAGCACGGAAATCTGCAATCTGCGTGCACCTCGGGATTTGGTAACCAGTGTAAAATTTGAATGAATCTTGAAAGAGAGCGTCAGTAAACCAGACATGGGCATATGTGTTTAGCAAGCGTTTATCAAAATCATCCGTAACCCGTCCACCATATTGAACCTCTCCGATCATGTAGTGTACAGTTAACCATGAAACACCCTAGATAAGGATAGAAAACAGATAGTATATATATATAGAGTGGGTTTCAATAAGCAGTGGCAGACATTTTGTGAATTAAGTTGCCAACAGATGACGACCCTTCGACTTTTTTTTGCTTAAATTTCGTGCATTGACGAAAATCTAATGGAAGATATTTAAAATGGAAAAGTTTCGATACACAAAGCAAAGAGGTTCTCACCTTTTTGGCGTCCAGATCGTCCAAATGATTCTGTATAAACTGTACAGTAGCGCCAAGATCTGCAGAGTTGAACTCGTACGGAATATTCCATCCAAGTGGACCAAACTTTCGTCTTTCTTGTACGACTGTATGTAGAAATGCTGCTGCATACAACATTGGTTTCCATTGTGGCATGTTTGTCACGTCCAGTTGATCCTGGGAAGGTATGAAGAAAATTAGGGTCAATATTCATATGAAGAACCTAAATTTAAATACAATTCTAATCCCAAAATTATCCTAATCAAAATCTTCATTCCAGACTAAAGTCCAGTCAGTCTGAGTTCTAATTAAATCTTATCATAAGCGTCATTGTACCCAAACCAAAATCCACCCCAAATCCAAACCCCAATTCTTACACAAGTCCTAACCAATCCTAATCTAGCCTTCGCTTTCCAGTCATAGTAGAATGGTGTAGGTATAGTATAAATAAATGTGTAGTAGATCATTTAATGCTTGATCATATAAAGAATACGAAAGTGAAACATACCTGAGAAACTGCAGCATACGTTCTCTTCAACCCAGCCTTAATACCTTCAGGTGGTTCATTTGTGAACTTGATGGAAGATTGTAGAAAGCTGATGGGGAATTTAGGATGTTCCTCTGTTGTGATCCATAAACGGAAGTTAGCATTCACTGTCTCAGTTGTTAACACCTGTGGTAGAAAGACAGCGAGTAATTAAGTGTAATTAAGTGTAATTACTATAACTAAAAAGTTGACCACCATCTGCAGTAAGTGCTCTGCAACGTTCACGGAACAATACATGTCAGGTAAGAAACTTACAGTATCAAGTAGTTCATCCAAGAAATTCAATCCCAAGTGACAGTTTTGCAAGAGTACCCAGCCACCTTCAGCCATGAACTGTTGTAACAAACGACGAGCATGCACTTCTTGGCCTTGTCCCATGGAGATAGCACGACATTCTATACGATTAGCAATAAAATTTACCTTATGATGAAAATATATTACATGACGCACTCCGAGTGTGTCCACACTGGGTAAGCTGAAAATTATTTCGCCTCAATGTAGTGGGGGAATTGAACCTGCTACCTTTGATTTGCTAATTCATTTCTCTACCAACTGAGCTACGAGGTCAAGTTGAAGTATAACCCACTGGAAGCGACTTGAGCACATAACTCAGTTGGTAGAGCAGTGGACTAACAAACCACAAACTTAGACCACAAACTAGATCAATCTTGCAGAATGTTATCAACAACCAGTGAAGAAGATATAGATCCATAAAAAAACTTTCAACTAGGAAAATTAAAACCTTCTATCAAGGTATCCAATATTCAAGACGTCTTAAACCCATTTTCCACTGGGCGAATTTTTTCGCTGACCAATCACATTGCGAAGATTTGTTTTTCGCTTCGCGCGAACAAATTTGCCTGGTGGAAAATGGGCTTCAGTCACGATCGCCTACCTAGTCTGTTCTTCTTGGACAACATCTCAATAGAAGCAGTAGGATCAGAACCCATGGATAGTAAACACACCATTGGAGTTCGTGGATCACTTTCTTCCCACATTGATTCTAAGTTCAGAATAACACCTTCTGCAAACTAAAATGTAAAGGTGCATATTAGTATAGAGGTTTACAATATCGAGCTGTTGTAGCGATAAGCACATTGTGCTTTTGGACTAGTATCCCAAAGGTCGCGGGTTCGATTCCCCACCGTGGTCAAGCAAACTTTTCAGCTTGCCCGGTTTAGATGCACACTCAGAGTAACACCACAAATATCAAATGTAAATATATATTGTTTAAAAAAGTTACATTTTTATCGATCAATTAGCCTTTCTCATGCACGATGACGAATATCCGCCATTTTTGGGTGGCATCCATAGGTGGCATCCAATTCTCGTTAACCAATGCAGACAATTAAAACAATGTGAAAAGCAAGTTTGCAAATTAAACTAACCATTTACAAAGCAAACTTGCCATAATTTGTTCAAAAAATTATAAAAAGTCGCTGTTATGTGGACTTATCTCGCAGACCTCGGCTGAAAAGCCACCCAAAAATGGCGGCGTGAGAAAGGCTAATTAGTAAATTACGTTATCCTCAAGTATCTGCCCTTCTATAATATACTGGTCGTATTGTACCACAAATCCTCACCTCAGTTCCAATGGAATCGGCAATATAGCGTCTGGCTTGACTCACAGTTCGATCAGGACACCAAGAACGTATCAACAACAATTTTCTAAATGTATCCAAGGACTCCTCATAACCATCAGGAACAGGGCTGTCTTCAGGTGTGTCCGAGTCGAACCACGCTTTCCAACTCTTGTCATTACGCGATATCTACATAGAAATAGCGTGATACATTTATTGAATATATTGTATAAGGCTAGCACGTCACATAGGTAACGATAAACGAATAAAGAAACAGTACCTGGCCCAGTATCTGCGAAAACTGCTGCAATTTGCTCAATTGAACTAAATTCAACCAAGTCATATCTGAAATCCATTTCTTCGGTTTCGGCTCAACTGCATTCAATCCAGAGCAGCCCCACCTGTTTTGAAATAGAACGTACTAATTAAATCCATAATTTATTGATGGCTTTCATTATCATCACGGTCAACTTCAGATATGCTGACATTTTGTAGTAACAACTCGCAATTCTACAGTATATACCGCCAATATTACACCGTGTTCGCATCCTAATGACTTGGAATATTACACGACAGGATTTTAGTAAAACCCGACCAAATGCTGTTATATTATGACTGCATTACCTTTAATCAAAACTTGGAATTCGTCCTGCTTGATCTTGCGATCTTGAAGCTCAATTTTCAATGCCAACAACAAGGTGAACAAGAACTTGTGACTTTCGTAGAGACCACGAGTTGTATACCTGAATAAAATAAACAATATTAAGACTAAAACTAAACATAGAATATCTATACTGGATACCTATTTTTTAGAGGTTCACTATGGGTCATTCTTTACTGCTACAGTATTACTACTATATACAACAATACGTGGAAGCCTGTGGTCGTTGGTAGAGAGCCAAACTGTAAACACTTTTCCCACATGCAACTGTGACGAAATCTAAACCAGTCAACTGCTTATTGCAGGAATGAATAACAGGTTAAAGAGGTGAAGACAACATATCAACCAGGATGGTACTTCTATTAGCCATTTCCCAATCGAGCAGAGGACTGGGTCTAGTTGATAATTGGAGGGACAAGTTATAGTGAGCGAGCTAAATATATATTAAAATATGCCTCCTGGCAGTGTTATTGTTATAATCTACTATCTGAATAGTTGGCTTTGTTTTTTACACAAGGGAAAGGAGAGCTAGCCTTTTTACCCAAATGTGACACATATCAGCATCGTTTCAGGCTGCACAAATAACTTTAGGAATGTAGGAAAACTTCCTAGATGCCATATTCGGAAATATTGTTTATTTTTTGTCCCTCCAAACTAGTGACTAAACCCAGTCCTCTGCTCGATTGGGAAATGGATAGCAAAAAGATCATCACGTGAGTACCCTGCAATGAGGTGATACGAACCTGAATACTTCAAATGTCAGATAATCAATGATATTCTGAATTCGTTTGGCTGGAATAGGAGATTTCTGTGAACGTGCCATGGATATATCAAACAGCCCCAGGAACTGTTTTAATGACGTCTGATACATGATATTTACATAAGACATCTCAACAATCAAGAAATACAATATACTGCCACGTGATGCCACTGAAAAAAATGATATTGCATTGAAGTAAAACAGGGACATTAATATTTATTCTAAATCAATTGAACTGTATGTGGTCACACAGTGGTGCATGGGCGGATTTACTGGGGGGGGGGATTAAACCCCCTTTAGAATCTCTCCAACCCCTCTTATAAAGTGTTCAACCCCACCAAAATTTCGCTTTACCCCTCCTATTTTGTGTGAAAGTCTTTACCCGAACGCCTAATCCCTGTAAAAAGCTTGCTCAGTGGTGCCGCTACCACCCCACTAAAAATTTTTCCATCCCTCCTTTAAAAAAATGAAAATGCGCCCTTGCAGTGGTGGTAATACAAGTTTCATGTTACAATTACATGAAAATAAATATGAATAGTTAGAGAAGCCTCATATTATACCAGGTCTATATTCCTCTCTTGCAGAATTAATCTTGAGTTCAGTCTCAGCAGCCACGATCAATTTTTCACTGACTTCTTCAGATGTGGTTTTGGTAACACCCAGTACACTGATCAGAGAGTCGTCATCCACCAGTGAGCCCTGTGTACTGGTTAAACGATACAGTAAGTTATCTTCAAGATCTTGCATTTTACGTTTGTTTGATGTCACTTCTTCCATTAACTTCGTACGCTCAGCTTCTAATTCCTAAATGAAAAAAAGGTACGTCGCGTCATTCCCAACAAATGCAATTGTACTGTGAAATCATGACCCTATGTGTGTTCCCCTCTGCATTTGACCAACATTTTTAAAACATGTTCTTATCATATTTTTTGTGTGTGTTGGTGTAATGTACTCAGGTGAATATGATGTTTGCGATGTTACTCTGAGTGTATATCCACACCGGGCAAGCTTGAAAAATATGCCTGGCCACGGTGGGAATCGAACCTACGACCTTTGGAATACTAGCCCAATGCTCTGCCTACTGAGCTACGCGGTCAAGTCGGTTCGAGTATGTGATATTTCGGAACTGAGTCTAGTTCCTTCGATATCAATGAAATCTAGTAATCATGATTTTTCTGTGTTGGTGCAATGTACTCGGGTGAATATGATGTTTGCGATGATGATACTTGAACCGTCCTGACCGCGTAGCTCAGTTGGCAGAGCATTGGGCCAGTATTCTAAAGGTCGTAGGTTAGATTCCCACCGTAGCCAGGCATATTTTTCAAGCTTGCCCGGTGTGGATATACACTCAGAGTGACATCGTAAACATCATGTTATTATCAGTCAAAAGTAATTGTTTTGATGAAAGAAATGGTTTTCGACATTTTTCACAAAGTTTGTTCTAGGTTGAGGTATTTTTTTTTAATTTTTAAAAAATTTCCTGTGGTTTCCCCCTTTGCATTTTTAATTTCTCAAAACATTTGCTGGTCCCCACTTTTTTTAAGATTTTGCTGCCAGGAAAGGAAATATATATTCTATGCCTGCACTTTCCATATATAAATATCTTGAAATTACACCACAGTAATAGGACTAAGAGTTAGCACCAATACTTATCGGGGGGTAGTATTAGGATTATGATTCTTGTGTGATGTTACTCTGAGTGTATATCCACACCGGGCAAGCTTGAAAAATATGCCTGGCCACGGTGGGAATCGAACCTACGACCTTTGGAATACTACGCGGTCAGGACGGTTTGAGTATGCGAAATTTCGGAACTGAGTCTAGTTCCTTCGATATCAGTGTAATCTAATAATCATGATATTTGCTGTGTTGGTGTAATGTACTCAGGTGAATAAGATGCTTGTGTGATACACATCACACAAGCATCTTATTCACCTGAGTACATCACACCAACACAGCAAATATCAGGATTATGATTGTTAAAGAAATTAACCTCTAGCTGATTTATTTCATATCAGGCCATACCTGTTTCTCAGTGAGTATAACACGCCCCAGTAACTGATCTTCCAGGCCTTTCATGGTCACAGTAAAGTCAATGATAGATGTTTTTGCACTGATCTCTGGAGTGTATGCAGGGTTGCCAAGCTTCGTTGTAATATACAGAACAAAACCTTCCATGACATCCACTTCTTTATCTCCCACTTTGACCTGAACAAAAAACAATGCTGTAAGATATTATATAGCCTGCGTAACAGCGGCAGCAATAGCAAAAACATGTGTGACCATCTGTGGTGATTTCATCTTGGCACGATTCAAATTTGTATACTCTTAGTGCATACATCATCCCCCTTTCAAATATTTTGTGTGTTTTCCTCTAATATTTTTAGCTCAAATACACTGAAAAATCTCATATAGACAGTAGTCAACTCGAAAGCTTCCTGCTACTTTGACTACTGGACATAATTTAACTAAGTTATCTTATATTCTATTATAATAAGTAACTTTATATTTTTTTAATGTTTGTACGTTCTTGTATTCTATTTTTTCTCTTCTATATATTGCAAAATCATTAAAAATAATTAAAAATCTCTAATCTGTGAACTCGTGATCTTAGAATTATGAAATCCGTAATTGTCATTTCTTGCACATTTTACCTTTAGTGTTTTGCCGCTCTTTATAAAGTTCTTTTCAAGAATGTTGTCTAAAACAGGATCCAATTCTTCACCAACATCTTCGAGTAACAAAGGTCTGCCGAGAGATAATGCATCATCCAAGTGGTTCCTGAAGTACTTGTTGTTTAATGATGTCGTCTAAGTAAGATGCAAATATTAATTAGTTCCTGTATAAGTGAGTTTCACTGAGCATTATGATACAGTAGATGGTGGTCATCCGGCAGTTATCAACATTATTTCATTTAATACATAAGCAATCTTGTATTAGCAGGCAAATGAGCAAATAAATAGAATTGAGAAATTTAGTTGAGTAATCTTAACTGTCAGTGTGCCAGTGTAGGTAGTGGCAATAATATGAACAAGCTTTCGTTGGTAGGGGCGTGGCATATAAATATGAGTCATCATGCTTTGAATAGGGATGACAGTGCCTATTTGCCAGAGGAATATATGCATCTCATTGGCAGGTGACGTCATCCCTTGGGTATTTAAGAAGCTACGATTGCATCTTTAGATCACCACTGATGAAGACACTAGACTGGAGTGTCGAAACGTTGGGTCTTGAACTCTTGATTACAATTCGACTGGGCTTTGTAATCATTTATTTAAACCAGAGTAGCGAGCGAAACAGGATTGATATACCTGGTTGCAGTGAACAAACAAACTTTACATATAAGGAGAGTTTCAACGTTTCGAGCGAAGGCTCTTCGTTTGGTTCGAAACGTCGAAATTCTCCTTATATTCTTCAGGTAGTTGCATGGTAGGGACCAATGAAAGCCTGTAGTTGAGTAATGTAGTTTATTTTTCTTGCTCCATTATAAGTATGAATATAAAGATAGACCAACGTCTGTTGCCCCGTAATCCATACAAAAACCTACCTATACAGTTCATACAGTAAATGTGTATGAACAGGAGTAACATAATTGCAAGATAATTGCAAATGCAGTCAAGTTTACCTGCAAGTCGCGAGCACTCTCCTTGTTTCTAATCCAAGCTTTGCCTTGACCCTATTTAAAGAAATAATGATTATTATAACCAAAAATCTGACAATGTCTCTAGTTAACCCATTGATCTGCAATGCGCCCCAGTGCGTCCTACTTATTTTTTTTTTACTTGTCTAACGCCAGATAATTTTACTCATCAATGGGGAAGCTCTGCAGCTTAATGACCAACGTACTGTTAATTAAGTACAGTAGAGTAGACTATGCGCAGTTGAGTATAATAAAGTACAGTAAGGTAGTACAGTCATGGACGGATTTTCAGAGTGGGTGCAGGAGGTGTGCACCCCCAAAAAAAATTGCCACCCCACCCCCAAATTAAATGCTCATTGGGATAAATGACAGTCGTGTAATTGAAATACTGTAAAGATTTTGAACTAAGTAAGACCAAAAATCTCAACATTTCCTGGGGGCTTTGCTCCCTTACCCCCATCAGCAACTGTGCCCCCAGACCACTGCTGCAGTTTGGTCACACAACCCCCCTAACGTTTCGGTACCGCCCGTCTACGAGTATAGTGTAGTACAGCCAGAGAGAATATAATAGAGTATAGTACGGTAAAGAACATCTTCGCACTAATACAATGTACAGTAACATGGTACATAAGATTACAACACATAGTGAAGTACAGTAGACTGAACACAAACCTGAGGATCTATGAGCAACGGGAATCGCGTTGCCTTGGTAACAATGATGCCATTTTGTATAGACAACTCGTCATTTGGAAGGCCTTGTAAATTCCATTCTCCAATAGTCGCAGAGTCCGTCAACATTTCAGTCAGATTCAAATCTTCTGAGAAAGGAATCTTATTCTTCTGCATCATCTGTTTCCAGTTGGAGAGAAGAAGATTCCTGAATTCTTGATTAAATGGTCCTGAGTAAGATAGAAATCCTGTTGCAAGCAATACATCTCCAACCAATCTGAAATGAAGAATTCATTCAACACATCAATCTACTGTTTCCTATTATTATTATTAGTAATGAAATAAACTATAGGTTGGCAGAGTGAAAACATGTGGATTCTTTTAATTGGATATAATAGTCATGTATGTAAGAGTTAAATACCGAGAAGGAGGGCTTTATGCTATATACAGCCCCGAGAACGCGAAGCGTTCGAGGGCTTTATATAGCATAAAGCCCGACATTCGAGGTATTTAACTGACTTATTTCATGATTGACGAGGTTTTCTAACAAAGTTTTATTCTTTTTTTTCCGATTTCGACAAGTATTTTTCTAGTTTTCTCCCTTATTTCTTGACTAATTAGGGCTTTATGGTATTCAAGGGCTTTATGGTAGATAAAGCCCGCGGTACATCAAAGAAAACCGAGTCAATCATGAAATAATTAGTGGTTAACCTATTTGCGCCGCAATATGCCCTACCTATTTTTACTTGTCTAACGCCAGACAATTTTACTCGTCAATGGAGAGGCTCTGCAGCTTAATGGGTTAATAACAGAATTGAAAGATGTTGTTTTGTTCACTTGTCATGCTCCTACTATCTACTACAATATCTAAATCATCTCTGAATCCACCTACTACCTACCGTCTTATCTGCTCAGCAAACTTTCTACTCTGTTCAGTCCATCTCACTTTCTCGCCACCCAGACCTTCAATAAGAGCAGTGGCATTGCCCATCTTACGACGACATGCCTCAGCATCATCAATTAACATTTGTTTCTCTCTCATCGCTTCATCAAACTTGGCTTGAACTGCGTCCAGTTCACGTTGTTTTTCATCCAGTTGTTCTTGTGCTGCATTCAGTTCAGCTGTAGCTTTGCTTAACCTTGCTTCTTGGACAACAAGATTTGCCTAGAGTAAGATATGTTGTACCACAGTTTATAGAAGTGGTTGTACATATATTAGGTAGTTTCAGTAAGCACTGTTGGGTAGCTAAATCCAGACTTGCAGAACAATCCTAACTTTAAAGCTTATAAACCTAACCCAAACTCAATTCTAACACTAACACTGACTCCAGCCATAATATAGACCCTTAAGCCGCGTTTACACTAATACAATGCACAGATAAAAATGGAACGCATACCAAATTTACCCGTGCTCGGCCTTGGTAAACAGATAGTCCGAGCATGGATACCAAACAGGTACAGGTACCAAAATTGAACGTACTGGTAGTGTAAATGGACCTTAAACAACCCAAGCCCAAACTACAATCTTACCTAATCCTAATTCTTAGGATGTCATTTCTGTATAGTAATATGACAAGTAAATTTCTTACCTTAAGAGGCAGAACTTCCTTATTGATTGCATAGAAGAATGCCATAGCTTTAGTCCATGAAGCAAGACCTGCGACATCACCACAAACTTTCTTAGCGCTTTCCAATGTGTAATCTTCCATCTCTAAGTAAGGTGCTAGTAACTCCACTGTCTCCGCATTGATTGAATCCTAACAGAGTGAAAATATTATACTAATAATAAATATAAGCGAATCATGATTTGGTCAACTTTCATATTATCTTTCGTATAATCTTAACATACTGGAAAAAGTTTGAAATTCCATAGAAGGTTATAGTATGGAAATTGAATGGATCTTTATTGGAAATAGAATGGATTTTGGTTATCCATAATAATTGTATATTTCCATAGTATGGATATAGTAAGGAAATAGTATGGATATACTATGGATTTAGTAGTGCAATTGCAAATTTCGTAGTATGGATTTCACTTTTTTTTCCAGTGACATACTTAATACTAACTACTTCTTACCCTAATCCTCACTCAGCCAACTCTAATTCGTAACCATAATTCTAACCCTAATTCTCACTTTAATCCTTAGACACTGTCCTTCCTTTCAGGATTGGATCAATGCTGTTGGAGGATGTATGAATAATAAGCTACTGATACATCAAACTCACCTTGGGAAACGTAAGTAAGGTCTGTAGAAATCCACCTTGACTCATTAGTTTCAACGACTCTCCCCAGGATGGTTTTACACATGGTCGTTCAGGATCAGCCGTCACAATGTCTACACGCTTACCAAACAGTAACAACACACAATCCATAATACGCATAATCAGATGTGGCGGTTTCGCCAACTTACGCACGGTTGAAATATGTGCTGGTTTGATCGTCTGTAAGGCCGCCTCTGCTTCAGCTAATGCTGGCTTGGCTGCTTCCAGTTTCTGCATAGCAAAACCTTTGTCCACCTAAAATTTTGAAAATATTTTAATAGCAGTTCTAAACTGTTCTCCTTAGAGGTCCAGCAAGAAGAATCTCTGATTGATCCAGTGTTACTACTGAACTTAAAGTTAAAACTAAGAGGCAAAAGGCACGTGCATTAACCCATTAAGCTGCAGAGCTTCCCCATTGACGAGTAAAATCGTTTGGCGTTAGACAAGTACAAAAATAAGTAGGGTGCACTGGGGCGCATTGCGGCTCAATGGGTTAACCAATGTGCTAGTGACACCACTATACTGCCAGCATAGTACAGTGAGAAGTTCTAAGAACTGAGCAGTTAAGCCTAGTTTCCATTTGGTCGTTAGTTGTCGCTGGCACGACAAGTGGCTGATGTAATAAAGTGTCAACAAAACTTTATAAAACTCTGCAATCATTAAGACTGATTTGCATATAACACACAAAAAAGACTATTATTATATTAGAGACATTAGACTATTTCACATCTACCGCTTGTCGTGCCAGCGACAACTAACGACCAAATGGAAACTAGGCTTTAGCATCTATCATGAACACACAACACTACTTCTATAATAATCTTTAAAAAACTTACAGCAATCTCATCGACAATAGCTTGTGCCTTATCCTTCACTTTCTGTACTTGAGACTTGACTTTCTCTGCAGCCTGGGCACTAACGGTCACCTCTTGCAGTACTTTATCAGCTTTGACTGAAGCAACAGCCAACTCTTTTTCTTTAACAACGAGTTCCTGCGAGAGCTTCGCAACAGATTCTGTCGCTTCTACCAGCTTGTTTAAGCCAGTATTCATGCGGTCAGATAGCACGCCAATGGCTGTGTGTTTCTCCTTGTAGATCTCCTTGTAGCCAGCGATGAATGAAAGATAGGACTTTGGCGTTACGTGCATTTGACGACGGAAACGTTCAAAGTATTCAATGCAAGTTTCTGCCACTTTATCCTGTAGAACAATACAAAATATATTCTCTGGTCAATTTCCCTCTTACAAACTTCAAGTTAAATACAATCCTAATTCCGATCTCAATTCCAATCCTAACCCTACTCCTCGTTACGTCATTTAAGGATAGAAATATTAGAGATAGTAAGGGCCAACCTGCAGTTAACAATGTTAGAAAATAATGCCAATTCTTTTCATTAGATGCAGTAGTCCTTGGCAGCAAATACATAGACTTGAGAGATAATCTCCTCGCTCCTACATTTCAGTCCTTCTAAAATACACCCTTCCAGAAAGTATGTCACTTTGGCTATAAAGCCTTGTTTTCATGTAGGTGACATTATTTAATGCCTATTGTCTCAATCACAATAGTGACTCCCCACTTCGAGCAACACCACACACACACAAGCTATTTACCTGAAACATTCCCATGGTATTGACAACAGCTTGCTTGATCTCTGCTGAACAGGCGATCTCAAATGAAGCCAAGAAGTGTTGTGCAACTGCGATAAGAGCATCCTTTGGCCAGCTGCTGAACCAATCCATAGTACAACCGCTGAACAAACCAGGGAATTTGAGGGATCGATTTCGGAACTTTTCACCAACCTGAAGAAACACGAGAAAATCACTAACAGCTAGTAATAAACATAACTAATTTTGTTTATACTGGATAGCTCTAACAGTTCCAAACTGTTCTTCCTAGAGATGATCTGACACTGGTCCAGTGGGAGTCTTTCTTATTGATCCAGCATTCCAACAGGAGGAACCTAAGCTAAACTAACTTTATTTCTGCTGGATAAGCTGGCTGTATCAATTCTAAATTGTTCTCGCTAGAGGTTCAGTAAAGATCATCTCTTATTGATCCAGCATTCCTACAGGAGGAAACCTAAACTAAACTAACATTATTTCTACTGGATAAGCTCTATCAGTTCTAAACTGTTCTCCCTAGAGGTTCAGCAAGGATTCTCTCTTATTGATCTAGCATTCCAACAGGAGGAAACCTAAGCTAAACTAACTTTATTTCTACTGGATAAGCTGGCTGTATCAATTCTAAACCATTCTCCCTAGAGGTCCAGTAAGGATCATCTCTTATTGATCCAGCATTCCTGCAGGAGGAAACCTAAACTAAACTAACATTGGATAAGCTCTATCAGTTATAAACTGTTCTCAAACTACTGGATAAGCTCTTTCAGTTATAAACTGTTCTCCCTAGAGGTTCAGTGAGTCATCTCGTATTGATCTAGTGTTACTGCAGGAGAAGGAAACCGGAGTACCCAGAGAAAATCTACAGTGTTTGGTAGAGTTAAACTGGATGTATCCTTCTCACATGCGATTGAGACGAGTTTATAATTCACCCCTTATATTCCATACATGCACGTATATTCGAGGAATCACAGGGCGGTCACAGAAATGAAAGATACATGCATTAAGCCTGGTTCACACTAGCAATTCTATCGGGGACTTTTCTCCTCCTGGCAAATGTGATCAAACGAATGACATGCAAAAGACTTAGAATTGTTTACTTCTGAAAAACGACGCTATACTTTTATGTGCGAGTTCACTCATTTGCATCCGTCAGAAACACAAAATTGCTGGTGTTCATGAACCAGGCTTTTATCACTGTATCACCAACATTCCATAATGAGACCAAAATGCAAAACTCACCGGTGAGAAACAGAGTACAACGTGCAGGTTGTTGCGCACGCGTGAAATGAAGTAATCGTAAAGATTTTCATTGGTTGGAGGTCGTCGTGGAAATTCTTTCTTCATTGGAGCGATTAAATCTTGAGTTATCTCATCAATCTCATCACGTGCGAACAAATTGGAAACCTAGAAATAACACAATGTATATTAGAAAATATGGAGAAATGCTATATAAAACTGTGGTTACAAAGTATTCAGAAAATTGGCATACTGGAACTTCACATTGTCACATCAATGGACCATTACCTAATAAACAAAATTTTGATCTAGACAAGTCTAGTCTAGACTAAGTCTAGACAAAAATTTTATCACAGCTTGAAAGCGCATCACAAAATTAGTAATATTCCGAAGTTTCGTTGTGAAATGTTGTAAAATGCGGATAATATAGCCTTGGGAAGTTTGCCGTTTTTCAGTCATTTTGTATTACGCACAGGAAATTGATACCGCTTTCTGAAAACTTCACAAGGCCATATTATCCGCATTTTACAACATTTCGCAACGAAAATTTGGAATATTACTAATTTTGTGATGCTCTTTCAAGCTGTGAGGAAATTTTTTCTAAACTTGTCTAGCTCAAAATTTCGTTCATTAGGTAATAGGTCCATTGGGGATGTTTATAAAGAAAGTCACCCGAATCTCTTTTTACAAACATACCTCTCCTGAGGCGATGACATTGTTCATGTATTCAAGGAAGCCCTCATCTTTAATTTCGTTGTCAGTAAAGATGAACGTGATTCCACAACCCTGTTGACCTGCTGTACGGTACAGAATCTTTAAATCATCCATCAAGTTACTTGTGTTGTATGATCTGCAAAAATAATTGAGGAATTTTAACCATCTCATCTGAAGTAAACTCAAGAGACCTGGTCACAGAATAGAAACTCACAGAAGGTCGACTTCTTAGTTTTGCCTATGACTTTGGCATAACCATGCATTGCAATGCTGAAGCCATGGTCCTAGCCAGTGCGCTTATGAGAGGCATTCACCCCCTGAAATTATGCAAAATGGTGGACGTCCAGGGGAGTGAATGGCGTCAGCATTTTGATGACGAATCATGGCGTGGTAGCGTTACGGTTTTTCGGCCGAGTCGATTTTTTGTCTCTCAATCTCTATTCTGTGACCTGGATCTCACTGTATTGTATGAATCATTGATGTTGCCAAATAGCAACCATTACACTATCCCATATCTCTTACTGAAACCTAAATATGAAATAATCTAAGTATACTGAAGATTATTCAAAGAATTAAGTTCATGGACAAACCTTGACAGTGTAATCTGGAACGTTTTATAACCAGCAATAAATGAAGCCAGTCGTGTTAAACTCTGTTTGCCAGAACCTCCTACACCAACCAACAAGGCGTTACCACGTGGAGTGCGTATGATACGCGAGATCTTAACCAAGTGAACCATCGCATCCTAAAAATAAACAACTCGTTAATAAGATACGCTGACGCCATTTTAGAAGGCTTAATAACTTTATTTATATTAGACAGCTTTATCACTTCCAAACTATTTTTCCTACAGGTCCAAGTAAGGACAATCACTTATTGGTCCAGTGTTTATACTACAGGAGGAAACCGAAACTAAACTAACTTTATTTAAAGTTTGTTTGTTCACTGCAACCAGGATACCAGTCATGTTTTCACTCGCTACTCTGGTTTAAATAAATGATTACAAAGCCCAGTCGAATTGTAATCAAGACCCAACGTTTCGATACTCCAGTCTAGTGTCTTCATCAGGGGTGATCTAAAGTTGCAATCGTGGCTTCTTAAATACCCAAGGGATGACGTCACTTGGCAATGAGATGCATGTATTCCTCTGGTATTCAATAGGCACCGTCATCCCTATTCAAAGCATGATTACTCATATTTATATGTCACGCTTCTAGGCATAGTCTTTGACCATAGCGATTGTTTGTGGTAATTACTTTAGAATTTTTCCACGCACTCATGTGTTTGGTGTCTATCAGTTCTAAACTGTTCTTCCTAGAAGTCAAGTATCTCTTACTACAAAAAGAAACTGCAGTGCCAGATGTAAACCTGGAGGTCAAATTTTAATCAGGCAACTGCATACTGCAGAGATCGAAGCTCGGTCACAAAGACAGAAGGCACCTGCACTGAACACTATGCCACCCACAGATGTACACGGTGAGATGAAAGGCACAATCACTAACCCAGTGCCGTAGCTAGCATTTATAGTTGGGGGGGGTGTAGGCCAAACATTTCCGAATGACGAAGAAAATTTCCGAATATTAGAAAATTCTTGGCGACCTCCTCTCCCTCGTCGCCAAAAAAATTTCGGTCAGTGTACCATTTTAAGGGTCAAAAAATTTTTCCGGACATATCAAAACTCATATATTAGCCAAAAATTGCCTGAATCTCATGATTTTCGTATAAAAACCATATACTATTATTGCCGTAATTTTCCGAATGGCCATCCCATTTTCCGAATATGTCAAAGTTGGGGGGGTTAACCACCCCCCCAATACCCCCCTCGCTACGGCCCTGCACTAACCATTGTGCCACAAAAAGTTGCATTTGAACCCAGCCAGAAGTCAATGATAGACATATGACATAACTCTGAACTAAACTTACCCTGAAGAATACAAGATCCAAACTTCCACCTCGGATAGCTTCATTATAACTTGCCATAAACATCTTCAATCGTTCTTTGAGATTTTCAGAAGTTCCGATGGATTCATAAATCTTTGGAGCCTCGACATCCATATCTTCAGGTTCATCACCTGATATTCAGAAATAAAATGAGTTCACTGATAAGCACACAACGATTATATACTCACTGTTATATGCAGCTAACGAAGTCAGTTAAATATTTTTAGACAACAAAAATCCACAATTATCATTTGACCAAATGTACGAGGGAAATGTCCATCTTTCGTTTTAAAACCTATTCAAGCTTTAAAAATACCATAACACCATTATTATGACATATAAAGAACCTTCAAAAACTCATTAATAATTCATGAAGCAATTATCCAATCTTCAGTAAGAAATTAGTCACGTGCATACGTCTTTATACCAGCTAAAGAACGCTTTAACAAAAGACCATTGTTATGCAAACTATATAAAGATTTTTATATAAAGATTTGACTTATTATGCAAACGTTTTTGAAGCCATTTAAAACACTCGCAGGTCGTGTTTTATTAGGTCTAAAGCCACTCGCGCTGCGCGCTCGTGGCTTTAAACCTAATAAAACACTCCTGCTCGTTTTTTAAATAGTACCTAATAATTCACGAAGAAAATACAAAAGAAATGAATGTTTAATCAATGTTTGTAAATCGGATAAAGATTTGTCCTGATTTACATAAACTTCAGCTTTGATTTTCTCGGCTTAGACAATGTTTATTTTTAAAATTACTTCGCCAATGAACTCATAAGATGAGTCATTTTTTAAGTACGATAAAACATTCGCATGAGTTTGTATATCAGATACAGATCGGCTGCTCATGTTTTATCTAGTACTTAAAAATCATAATTATATCATAATGCGCTGTCAGTTGAAATTTCGTCAAAAATTATTAATGAGCTTTACAATATACCCTAGAATCTGACGTACCTGTCAATTCTGGGGCATCTCTCATGAAATCAACAAAATATTGATCTTCCTGTATAACTTCAACCATCTCGGTCCCAATATCTTCCTCTACCACAGTACGTACTGCTTTCTCAAACCAATCTTTGTCCACTTGGTTTGTGAAACGATCAGCTATAACTCGTTGGCACTCGTGTTTCCAGAGATGTAGTAAAACATTGGAATCCACTAACACTTCAGATGTAACGTTGAGTATCCCCTGCGGTAGATGATGTAAATAATCAACAACGACAAATGCAGCAACAATAGCAACAACAATAGCAACAACAACACCATTACCTGCCAAATTCTGCTGAGATCCCTCAAGTTAAAGATATAGTGAAATTTGGCTGGAGTTGGTAGCATTTTGATCTTAGTTCGTTGCCAGAGTTTGCGAGTTAATGACACCAGCTGTTTTACTGTGTTTTGTATCTCCGAACTAAAACCTCGTTCCTGGAGAAATGCAACACAAATATTAGCTATACAGTACAAAGAAAGTTAATTTAGTTTAGGTTTCCTCCCGTAGTAACACTGGATCAATAAGAGATGACAATCATGACACCTTACTGTGCCTCTAGAAAGAACAGTTTAAACTGATAGAGCTATAGTTTTCCTCCTGTAGTATTTCAACACAAAATAGTTCAGAACTGATAGAGCTATGAAATATAAACATTAGTTTAGATTTTGAACATGACATCAAAACAAACGACATACCTCACAGAAGTATCCCGTCCCAATGGTGGTAAAAATCTTATCAATAGAAGCATCAGAAGGTAGTGTGCAGTTAAACACAGTGAATTGTCTCTTCAATCTACTTGGGATATCATTTCGTCCTCCACCAGGTTGAATCATTGCGGCAATATATTGAATATCGACAATGTTGGTAAAGTCTCCAGGTTTATCCAGGTTGTAAAAACCATTCATTTCCATAAGCTGACGTACTATCTCGTTTGTTATCTGCAGAGATACAATTCAATGGACCTTTCCCCTTATAACTAAAATTTTGATCTAGACAAAAATTTCATCACAGCTTGAAAGAGCATCACAAAATTAGTAATATTCCGAAGTTTCGTTGCGAAATGTTGTAAAATACGGATAATATAGCCTTGCGAAGTTTGCAATTTTCAGTCATTTTGTATTACAAACGGGAAATTGACATACGATTCGGGTGTTGGGGCTGCAATTGCCCGTTTGTAATGCAAAATGACTGAAAATTGCAAACTTTGCAAGGCTCTATTTTCCTCATTTTACAACATTTCGCAACGAAACTTTGGAATATTACTAATTTTGTGATGCTCTTTCAAGCTGTGATGAAATTTTTGTCTAGACTTGCCTAGATCAATATTTTGGTTATAAGGGGAAAGGTCTATTAGTAATCCATTCTAATCAAATTGATATGTTGCAGTATAAAATACAACATGATGTTTTCTGTGTTGGTGTTATGTACTCAGGTGAATATGATGTTTGTGATGTTACTCTGAGTGTATATCCACACCGGGCAAGCTTGAAAAATATGCCTGGCCACGGTGGGAATCGAACCTACGACCTTTGGAATACTACCCCAATGCTCTGCCTACTGAGCTACGCGGTCAGATCGGTTCGAGTATGTTCCAAATGTCGTAGGTTCGATTCCCACCGTGGCCAGGCATATTTTTCAAGCTTGCCCAGTGTGGATATACAATCAGAGTAACATATCACAAGCATCAAAATACAACATGTTTCTAAAATCTCACCTGATCTCCCCATTCGTTAATGATGGGCATATTAATATCATCAATGAAAACAGTCATCTTCTTGCCAGCTGGAGGACCATACGTTGTCCCCATTCGCTTGTCAACATAGCTTTCTATCGTACGCTGTGGTAGAAACGAACAAATGATCAATTACGGGTACCAAGAATGACTATCCATAGAAATATCCTGGAATTACGCTACAGGCTTAGGATTACGATAGAGGATTGAGATTAGAATTTGAGTAAAGGTTAGGATTATACGCGTAAAAACCTCACAACTTGTCAACAAGACACTGGAAAAAAAAGTGAAATCCATACTACGAAATTTGCAATTGCACCACTAAAATCCATAGTATATCCATATTATTTCGATACTATATCGATAGTATGGAAATATACAATTATTAAGGATAACCAAAATCCATTCTATTTCCAATAAAGGTCCACGCAATTTCCATTCTATAACCTTCCATTGATTTTCAACATTTTTCCAATGAGATGTGTTGTCACTACTTGTTCCCAGTTCTTTTAGTAGAAATCTGGGACAAGCATTATTTTCATCTTGTACCCTCGTTTAGGACACAGTTTTCTTTCTAAAAAGCTTACCTGAAACATGTTGGGTGATGTGGCAGATGAAAAGTTCACGGACTTGGCAAGATGCACTTCAGCATCATATTTATTACAGCTTCCTTGAATCATGACTGTCTTGGCTGTACCTTGTTCACCAATCAATAACACAGCCTAGGAATTTCAACATGAACTCTTAGTAAATACCACAAGCTCATTCACCAAACCCTCTTTTTCATGCGCAAGCATCCCAGAGGACTAGCTATAATAACGCATAGCAAATCTCACCTTTCCTTGTTTAGCAATTGTATGGATAAGAAAGTCCGTACGAACATTATCCACGTTGGGCACAAGAATCGAAGCATATTCAGGAACAACATCTCTAGAATACTGATATTCTTCAACCTAAATAGAGGGGTATACAACAAACACACTTGATAAACAGTTTAGTAGGTCACATGCACTATCAATATACCGAACTGATGTATATAGTTTTGTTAGTATTAGGTTAAAATTGGGGCTGGGGTTAGGAATAGTTTAACGTAAGAAATTGTTGTATTCAACTTGTACTTGTTAATATGGAAATGGCCCAATCTTTACTTACAGTATAACTAAACCAACAAGTTCTGAGCATTTTCTTTTATACTTACTCTGTTATACCAATGTTCCCACGCTCCCTGTTCGTTGACGAGATATTCAAAGATTGTTTCGTCCTTTTTAACAGGAGGTAAGTTTAGATCTTTAGCGTTCTCTACTAACCATTCTTCCATCTACAATATACAACAATCATTGTGTTGGTCTATCAATACTAACTATAATGGTAGTACAATTGTGCCCCCTATACAGCTTTGGACCCACAATATAGAGTTAAGATTTCATTTCCGCCAGATGACATATTATTAGCACTGATGAAGATCCGGGCTTACGGATCGAAAGCTTTGCAGTAATAAATTTACGTGGTGTTTCCACAAACAAAACTATTATATGTTTTATTGCCATGCAAACATACAAAGAACTACATAATACCTTTATATACAACTGCCCTCTTAAATAATATATAATAAAGCTTCATTGCTCGCCTTCTGCAGCTATTTCGCTGCTCGATGTTATGTTAAACCACTCACCTTCTTTCTATCAGTTAACTCCAGTGCGGCTCCAATACTCCACATTAACGAGAATAGAAACAACTTTTCAAGAAATGCTGCGTCTGCTTGCTTAGGAGCATCCTCGCCAGGAATCAGACCTTGCAACAAGTTGATCGCTTGCATAACATGATTACATTCCAGTAACTACAAAACAAAAACAAAGATTTAAATTTAGTACAGCAAATTCACATGTTAAATACGTATTGCAGGAAACTTCTGAGTAAGGGTGACTAATACTATACGAAATACTAGTAGGAAAAGAGTGATGGTTGTAATGGAAGAATGGTAAGGAAAAATGAATCGAAACGGGATAGATAGAAAAGGGGAATGGAGCCCTCGAATACTGAAGTGTGTGAATGATGACATCACTGTAATAGTATAATCATCAGTCAGTCACAGCATTCAATCATCGACTTACTTCCATCTTTGGCACAAGATTTTGTTGTACATAAAGTCTAAGATCTGTAAAGACTTTCTCGAAAAGCGGCATCAAAACATCTCCTTCCATAGGTGAACGAGAATTGAGCCAGCCCTAGAGAGAAATAAACACACTTTAGAAATACATCAAGCCAGAACATAAGTACGCATACTAACTAAAAAATCAATGGTGTAAATAAGTAGATATACACAGTCAATACAGGGCAAATAAGTGTCCGTATAAGAAAGACTGAGATACCACAAGATGAGGTTCGACTGTACTTACTTGAAGAATTGGCTGCCAGTCCAGGATAGACGAGCTCATATACACCATTCCATTTCTTTTGACAAAAAAAAAGAAAAAAGTAGAATGATCTCCGATATTCAAGTATTATTGCTTTTGTAAACTTGTGCTAAAATAGCTTCCAATGAAACTCATTATTGTAAATAGAATATTTGGCACTAAAATCACATGTATCATCAACACGTGGCTAAAAATGTAAACAAATGCAAAAAGTTCGGACATTACATTTGTTTCCATCTTAGCAATGTGTTGCTACCACACATGATTTTCAGCGCCGAATAAGTCAATTATTAGTGGACAAAATGTTACCTTGAAACAGTAGCTGGTGAAGCATTATCAATATTATGTGGTTCAAAGACAACCTTGCAGAGAGGAGCCATGGGTATCCGATCACCATTAGCTAAAGTCAACGTCTTGTTATCATCAAGTACACTGTTCAGGTTCTCAATCCAAATGGCGTCCACTGGACCATCAAGCACAATCCATATATGATCACCCTACAGTAAAACAATATGCAATTTTCTGTTGGTTATTATTGACCCAATGCACTGACATCACAAATCCTTAGAGTGTCCTCCAGATGCTCCCTAACAAAATCTGTTCGGGTACAACAACCACATACAACGCAAAAATTTACCATTTTAATACAAAATTATTATAACGTTTTACAAAATTTGCTTTGGTTACAAAAGTTATATTATGCATAGATTGCTACTTTGTCCTCCAGATGCATCGTCGCTGGCGCTGTGACGTCATGTGCAATGGGTCCATTCAAAAACACGCTTGGCAAAATACGATTTTAATGAAGCAATTGGGTTGGTTTTCCTCATGAGGTAAAAACCAGCCCTATTGGTAGGGCTAGTCATGTAGAGCTCATGCAAATACCCTCTGTTTTTCGTTTTACTTTACTGATACCTTCTTAGCACGAAGAGTTTTCCTCCAGAGTGTGGAAAATATCCCATCAGTCCAATCGTTTGTGGAAACATCTAATCGACCGAACATCTGCGGGGCGGTGATAGCCTGCAAATATTAAATTTATCATTAACTGCGTCAATAAAAGTACAATATGAACGTATTCGTAAAAATAGAAATCACGCTTTGCAGTATTAGTGAGTTGCGCTTGGCAGTTATTAAAGTGAGGAAATCATTTTGATTCCATTTATCACATCGAGTAATCTTCACAAATCTTGTATTTGGAGGGACATACACAGAATTGAAAATTGTAATTTGTTTGTTCCTATACTGGTGGTCAAGCAGAAAACCATCTGTTGCACTGTAACCAATATAACCCACCAATATAACTGCATATCATGATAAGTCTTACTACAGAAACCCCACCTTAGGGTTCATACGGAATTCCTTATGCGGTGCTCCACATTGTGTCATGGCTTTCATTAACATGTTGATACACTTGGTTTTGCCCGCACCACTTGGTCCCAGGGTCATCATACCATGACGAACACGCTGAGTCTCGTAAAGCTATGGATGGAGAAAAACAGTCAATAAATCAATAACTACAAGGCACTCGGATACTGCATACTTCATCCACCAGAGAACTTTCATATTTTCGGAATATGATTTATTCTATATTTTTTCAAATTATCAGCTGGAAATGGATTTCCTGAATAAAAATTGTTTGATTTGATTTGAATCCAAACGCTCCAACACAAACAGACATACCTGTATAAGTTTCAACACCCAAGGTGCATGATTCACAAGCTTGGCTTCCTCAACAGCCTCAGCAATGGCCTGCTCAATATCAGGATAACCAGCTTTCAGTAATGTCAGCCCCGGAAAGAGATCGTCAATCAAACTTAAGAATAATGGTTCATCTTCGTCCACCAGTTTACTGAGGTTCATATCACGTAGAACTCTCATCACAATCTTGTCTTCACCATCCTGACATTGACAGAAATTAATGAATACCAATGAAACTAACTTTATCTATATTGAATACCTCTATCTGTTTTTATCTGTTCTCCCTAGAGGTCCCGAAAGGGTCATCTATTTCTTCAGTGTTAATACAGAGACCTAAACTAAACTTACTTTATTTATACTGGATAGCTCCATCAGTTCTAAACTGTTCTCTCTAGAGGTCTGGTAAGGGTCATCTCTTGTTGATTCGGTGTTACTACAGAAACCTAAATTAACTTTACTCATAGGCCTTTCAGAGGCCCAAGTAGGCACACTCACCTCAGGGTTGGCACGTTTAGAAGCTCCCAGTGTCCGAAGCACAGACAAAATATTCCTCAAACCAAAATCATAATGAACCTACAAAAGAAAGAGCATACACGATAAAATTTCTGTATCACGTATACTGTAGCTGACATGCACGCTAGTTGAATGTGCCATGCATGAAAAGAACTAACTTGTTTTGTAAGCTGTTCCTCGCACAGTTTATACAACGTGTAGAACTTCCTAGCAAGGTTGACGTTCTGTAAGAAACCACAGGCGGCAAGTTTAACTCTCATGATAATCTGTCTATCTGGCACCATCATAGCCACTGTACGGAACTGGATCTTCAGATTCTCTGGTAATTCCTGTCTTCCAGCATAACCTGGGTTCTATATGATAATATGGAAAATTGTTATGTTAGTTGTCACAGAGCTATAATAACTTTTAATAAGTCCTTCTTGTAGTACTGGTACAGTAATCATGATGCCTTTTATTACCTAGCTCATACGAGGGTGAGGTTCCAGTCTGTCCTAATTAAGTATGCACGACATGTAAGCTTTAGAAATACAATGGAGACTGTTGTCCAAGCTGGATCTCGTTCATCAACTGAGGGTAGAGAGTAAATACCTGAGGACCTGTAGTATTTGTGAACCAGGCTTAAGGTTCTAGTCTGGCCTAAGTATGCACAACCTGTAAGCTTTACTGTAAAAAAAATGGTTGTAACGTCACCACTCAATGCAGAGTAAAACAAAGCACACACTCATTCCCAGGGTTCTGGAAACGAGGATTAGCCAGGTCTATGGTTCCCTTGCCCTAAAGAGAACCATTGGCATTAATCAAGTACTTTGGGAACGGATACTTCACTTACCATGGTCAAGAAGATACCAAACTCGGGATCTAAGGCGACTACATCTCCATCAGTGAAGATGAACTGTACTTTCCTCTCTTTCTTAGCAGTCAATACGATATAGATCTGTTGAGCAGCAACAGATAATACAGGCAGTTCAATACGATTGAACTCATCAAAACATCCCCAACTCCCTGACTGTGCCAAACCTATAGAGAGACGATAATATGAGCTGGAGTCTATTGGATTACAAACACATGGCGCCAAGATAAAAGCAAGGTTGATTGTTATTGGTGGGTTTCAGAGCTCAATAGTATTAATGTAATGTAATGTGCAATGTAATGTAATGTGTAATGTGATGTAATGTAATGTGCAATGTAATGTAATGTAATGTGTAATGTAATGTGCAATGTAATGTAATGTGCAATGTAATGTAATGTGTAATGTAATGTGCAATGTAATGTGTAATGTAATGTAATGTATCGTAATGTAATGTGCAATGTAATGTAATGTGTAATGTAATGTAATGTGCAATGCAATGTAATGTGTCATGTAATGTAATGTGTAATGTAATGTAATGTAATGTAATGTAATGTGCAATGTAATGTAATGTGTAATGTAATGTAATATGTAATGTGCAATGTAATGTAATGTAATGTAACTTAAAATTAAACTACATCTCAGTCCAAAAAAATTGCCACTAAATACAAGACTACTACATTTAATGAAATGAATTAACTTTATACTTTCTTACTCTGATAACTGCTGGTTTACCACCATCTGCTGGACGATAGTGCTTTCTGAAACCCACCTGTTGCTGGATTCCTTTAGACTTCATGCATTGTGTTAATACCTTTGTAAATCCTGCCAAGACCTCTGTAGTCCATTTGATCTGAGCAGTTGAAAACCACGACATACTTGCCCAAAGCTTTACCCATATCCTATATTTTTAGAGAAAACAAAACACGTATATTCTTATCGTTCAGTAAATTGATAATTAACTAACTTGGACGAGCTATCCCAATGAGTGCACATACCTTAGTGGTCTCTGTTTTTCCTGTGCCTGCGGGTCCAGCGGGTGCCCCACCCATTGACATGCCCAGAGCTTGAGACAACGTGATGTAACAACGATCAGTCAAAGGTGTGATGACCAAACGATCTGTACAACCAAGGAACTCATTCTGGTAGATGAAATCAACATCTGTGATTGACACAACACACTGATCTGTATCTTCTTTGAAATAGAACCTGGACTGTTTTAACCATTCGAAGTCTGATGGAGATTTGATGTTCTTTTTCACCTATATTGAAAGCATGATACGCAATACTGTTATACGAACCACAGTTAGTTGAGGCCGGGAGGATTTTTCGTTAGTGTTTCTAAGGAAGGAGGTGCCAGTTTGAAAACCTGTGATTTCCGCAAGAATTTTTTTAAAACCCACACAATCAGGTGATTATAGTCACTTTTAAAGTTAAGGGGTTTACAGTCCTTTTTAAAACTCACACAATCACGGGATTACAGTCCTATGGTTTTCTGGTATAGACCCAAGGGTTTCTGTCTACATACCAGTTCATCAAAGATGTCTCTCTGGTGGACATGAATGGTAACAAGAGTCTCATATCTTGTTCGCTCCATCTTAGTGAGTTCTCGTGTTGTCACATCAATCAACTCGTTCAACATATCCAAGAAATACGTGTTTCTTTGTGTCATGATCTAAACATAGACAGATCAGTACAATAAGACTATGGACAAGAGTCAGAGTTTGCGTTGATATTACTCCATGACATTAAATGTTATCACCTTCTTGTCGGATTTCGCATTTGACAAAGCATCCTCAGAGTCTCGTGTCCAGATCATTTGTATTCCCAGAAGACCAACCTAGGACAGACCAATATAGTAATGAAGCCAATGAAATGAAGCCATTATAAATAGTTTGTAATAGAAATTTGCACAATATTAACTAGTCATTACCTATATCATGCCAAATTAGTACTACAATACCCAAGACAGCTCTCTCTATTAATTTCGATCTCTATTTGTAAGTTCCCTCCACCAAATAAGTCCAGCCCTTCCCCTAAGACAGTACCTGAGCTGGGAATGTATCCATAAACTCAAGAAGTTTAAACACTGGATCCTTGATAGCAACTGATGCCATTCTGATGACAGAGTGTAGAGCACTCTGTGCTGCAATCAACAAAGCCAATAACCATTGCTCGACATTTCCCTAAATACAAAAATCAGTACATCATTTATTAATCTAGTTTTATTACTCGAGGAAATATAAACCAACTTTATTTATTCTCTTGGATTGTTCTATCAGTTCAAAACTGTTCAAGAGGTCCGGGAAGGATATCTCTTATTGATCCAGTATTAATACAGAAGGAAACCAGTGCATCCGCAATGAACGTGTAGTTGTTCACACTGGATATACTCTTGAGACATGGGACTTCAGCAAAATTATAATCAGGCAACTCAGTGCAAGTATCAAACCTCACTGAAGAAGTCAAAGGCACATATAGTAACCACTGTACCAGGGCTCGAATTTTATCGCGGCAATTGCCGTAGAGGGAGAACAAAATGCCGTGGATCATTGCGGCAACGACGGCAATTTTTTGCCGTATAGTGCAATTTTTATACTATTCACTGTGCATTACTATTTTGATACTTGAACTAAGATGTTGATCAAATCATGCGTCAATCACTATTTTAGTCTCAGTTTTCTTCGGAAAAAAAAACACTAAAGAAATACGTAGACATTTTCTAGCTTGTCAAAAATCCAAGGTAACAATAAAATTAAACTTTTATTACAGTGTCAGTAATTTGAAAAAATGCCGTGGAAACTGCCAAAATTGCCGTAGACAGCTGTTACGTTCTACGGCAATTTTTAACGCCATTGCCGTCAATTGATTTCAGGGAATTTCGAGGCTTGGTACGACCAAACTAACCATTACATCATAACAATACAACGTACCTGTGCCATAATTGGCTTCTCCAATGGAATCTGTTCACCTTCCGAAGAATTGATAGCTAAGATCTTGTCATAATCCTTCTCGTCAAAGGTGACAGTCTTCAAGTTATCGAAAACACTAAGCAGATGTGCTTGAATGGTGTGGGAATCACTCGCCTGGCCAAGGATCTCCAGTAAAGCAGGATCAGAGACGAAGAAGAATCGTGGGAATAGAAGACGTTTCTTCTCCAAATAACTAAATCATGGAGAAAATTGGAATGTTTTAAACTATTTTACTACGCCTGCTTCACCTTCGGTGGCGAAGTGGTTAGCGCACTTGCCTTTCACCTCTAAGGTGGCAGGTTCGAATCTCAGTGACAACTTCTCAATGTGACACGAACCCAGGCCTCATGTGAAAAGAGTAAAAGTCGACGCTCTGCCGAAAGTCGTGGGTTTTCTCCGGGTACTCCGTGTTTCGTCCCACAGGGAAAGTTGACATGGGTGGGTTAGGCTCATAGGTTTCCAGAGGACCACAGAGTCATCAGTATTCGTACTGTCAAGTGTCATCCTCTATAAATAAAGTCTCTCTCTCTCACCTCAGACTAGAAATAACCACTAAGATTAAGTTAAACTTAGACCTTACAGACTCACCCACTCAATGATTTCTGACACATTTCTAGCTGCTCCAACAAGTGAGGCAATAGTTGTCCCAAAGTATCATCCCCCACGCAACATTGAACAACGTTTGGCGTTTCATGAGCACGTTGCATGATCTTTACCCATGATTTATCAATCTGAGAGAAACGTTTCGCTTCCTAGAAAAACACGAGGATAAGTAGCATTGAATTACATGTACAAATACCAAGTTACAGTACTTTGGAATATTGTCTTACAATATTACAAAACAGTAGACGATATCTCTTGGGGGCAAACTCTTTATAGTAAACCAACCAACAGATCAGTTTCAAGGTTAGATTTCCATTTGAAATGCTACAAACCTGAGGCAATTGTTTAGCGATATCACCACCAACAAAGACAGCTTCGAGATAGACCCAGAGATTTTGTACAACAAGCCAGTTTTCAATAATCTCTGTAGAGCCAGTCAGTTTTGCGACCCACTTCTGAATTTCTGCCTTGAACGGCGCGTTATATCTACAACGATAAAGAAAACATAGACCTAATTCTATATCTAATGGGTCGGACTAAATCGTGCAGCAGATCTTTTCATTATACACAATAGTGTTGTATTTGATGACCAACAAATAACTGGATAAGTTCAATATGTTTGCTTCTTGACCACCATACATTGCACTGTACTAAAATCCACCGTGTGACCCCAGATATTCAACAACAGACGTACCTATTGCTCATCAATGAACCCAAGATCATCAAGCTATCCTCCATAAGAGATACAATCTCGGACGTCTCTCCTCCCTTGAGTAAGAACTCTCCACGATTCTTGAAAGTTCCAAAGGAGAAGATCTGAGTACTCCAGTCAGCCACCACGCCTTTCAACTTTGCTTCAATATCTTTCTCTTTGACAGCAGCAATACAAATATCCTAGATAGAAATGTACGATCAAGATCTAGGTTCTAAAATCTCAGATGTGTGAGTACAATCATGGACATAACATTACAAAGATAGGTGTTTGTAATATTATGTCCATGTATATATACTCACTTGGATTACAAACCCTAACATTCTAATATTAATGAACAAAAGATAAAACAAACTTTGTGATCCCTCTCCCCCAGCTCAATGTTGTGGGGTTCTTTAGAAACCCAAGTTTCCATAGATGGAAGAGGTTCGATTTTTACTGTGGTAGTCACAACAAAAACGAAGATAGTTTGAACCCACGTTTTAGTAATATTGTTGACCGTCTGAGAGAATAAAAGCATGCCAAAACATAAACAAATGCAAACCTCAATGTCTTCTTTGTTCTCCAATAGCGGGGCACTCATAAGATTTCTTAAAGAGAAAGTCTCAGACTCCACATCCAATGCTGTCTTAGTGACATTTGAAATACGTTCCCAATGTCGAGCTTTCATTGCCTTGTGTGCCATCATTTCCAACAGAGGACATGACTCACTGAAATCATCTATGGTTTTCTTCAAGTCGAGGAACGCTTGCCACTCTTTCAGAGCTTTGGGTAACTTACGGATCCTAACGAGGTGAAGATTTTAAAATGAGTATGGTGGTCTAACCTAAACTAACTGTACTTATGCTTGATAGCTCATCAATGGATGATTCCAGCTATAGGTGAAATTTTGATCTAGACAAGGAGAACGAAATCCATTACCATAGCTGGAAAGAGCATCTTAAAATGAGTAAAATTTCAAAGTTTGGTTGCGAATTGTTGTAAAATGAGGAAAATATAGCCCTGTGAAGTTCGCAAATTTTGTATATATTTGCATTACGCGGTTATTTATACAAATATATACAAAATTTGCGAACTTCACAGGGCTATATTTTATTCATTTTACAACATATAGCAACCAATATTTGCAGTTTTACTCATTCTAAGACGCTCTTTCCAGCTGTGGTGTTGGATTTCGTTCTTCTTGCCTAGATCAAAATTTAGTCTGTAGCTGGAATCACCCATTTTAAACAAGGTCCGTTCCTTGTTAGTCGACTGAAACCGAAGATAGCTTGCGGTGCTTGGTAGAGTCAAACCGAAAGCACTCTTTTTATACGCGATTGAGGTGAAATTACGATCAGACATGAGCATATAATGGAGGAATACAATGGAATCCCAGTCAGTTGCAAACGACACACATGCAGCCAGGGCTTTTTTCAGGGATTTTTTAAGGAACGGCCCCAAAAACTCAATCTTGAATTGAGTTTTGAAATTCAATCTTCTCATCAAAAGATTCTGTGCAGTAAAATGAAGTTGTTTGAGTTAAATTCATGATGTGTGCAGATTAGTTTTCAGTTGAAAACCAGAAAATTAAGTAAAAAATGGCTGGAATTCATTTCACAACACAAGAAAAACAATGCATTCACCGTCTTTAACCAGTTTATAGTGTCTCTCAGTGCCCCTGCTTTAACACATTGCATCTCAACTACACTAAAGTGGGTACAGGTTTCAGCCTCCCGGTAGGGGGGGGAACAGCCGCCTCAAGACCCCCAGCTGTTCAGCTAAACTCAATCTTCTCTGCAAAAACGGACCCAAGAGAAAATCCTGAAAAAAACACTGCATCAACACATCAAACATCTTCAATCATCATTATGTGATCCTTACCTATTCTGATACTCTAGTAATTCTCCGTTAATCTTTTCCACGTCAATGTCAGACCATAAGATATCTTGATATCCATTCACGTTCTCGATCACAGAATTATACAGACTGTATAACTTTTGAAGTAGACCAAGTTCACGACGAATTCTCTGAAGTTCATCGTATTCTGTGACTGGTAGGCCAAATAATTCTTCACCGCCTGCAAAACAAAGTTATAAATTCAGGTATATCATAGGTAGATGTCAAATTGCACTAGATTACACAAAAGAGTTTAACTTGTTCTTTACCAGAGTAAGTCTGATATTTCCTCCAGAGTTCATCAAAGCGTGCTTGGAATATTTGCAGTCGATCACTTGCCTCGTTAGGCAATGTTCCCAACACCATCGGACCTCTGCAAATGTAGAAATAGAAATCATTTTCTCTTGTGACTCCTCAAGAGTTCCTGACGAGCATGCTTTACTTACTTCTCGTCATAATCGCTGACAAATGAGACCATTGCTTCTTTGTACACGTCGACAGCATTCAATAGATTTGTTTTGTATTCTGGCTCGATTTCAAGCAACTGTGTCTGGACAGCAGAGGCCTTTAATGAAGAAAGAACAATAATGGCTTGCATCATACAACGTCTCTTCAAATAACTACGGTGGAAGAAGAAAAATCAAAGCCAACTTCCTAACTTCCCTCATTCTAATATAAATACCTGTGAATTGACTTTCTTCCAAGAGTATGTCAAACTATCAACCCTTTCTGAATCATGACTTGAGTAATGTAAACCATATTTGTTGAGCAACGCAAAAGATTCTTCAATTGGTCCGATGGTCATGTCAATCCTAAAAAGATTAATCATGAAAGTGTCAACAGTTTCGAAGTTGGCAACCATTGTTTACTGAAACGCAGCCAGACTCACTTGATCTCCGACTCTCGGACTTCTCGTAAAGCCGCCATAGTGTTTCTGACATCGTCTAAATCTTTGATCGGCCTGGACAATCTCTTGCACATATTGTCAAAGAATGTAAATATTTCCTCCATATCAGCACTGGCCTTGTTCGCCAGAGCTTTACCGAAAGCTTGTTTCCATGCCTTTGTTTCTGTAACAAGAGCTCGCTTTAGAGGTTCTGTGGAGTAAATGATCGAGCCAACAGAATAACTTGCTGGTAGTTCCTCTACTGCCATCTCAAGCTCCTGCAGAAAGAACACAAAGTATGGTATTTTCTGTGTTGATGCAATGTACTCAGGTGAATATGATGTTTGTGATGTTACTCTGAGTGTATATCCACGCCGGGCAAGCTTGAAAACTATGCCTGTCCACGGTGAGAATCGAACCTACGACCTTTGGAATACTAGCCCAATGCTCTGCCAACTGAGCTACGCGATCAGATCGGTTCAAGTATGTGATATTTCGGAACAGAATCTAGTTCCTTTGATACCAATGTAATCTATATCATGATATTTCATCACAAGCAACAATGAAAGTATATTGTATCGGAGCGGACCATGCCTTGCAGGTAAGAGAGTTTATGAAATATATACCTGATAGTAGCGTATCTGTGTTTCGAAGTCAGACAGCAGTGGTGTTGAATCCATGAATTCTTGCACTTTGGTATTGGGGTCCTACAAGTTATGAGAACAAATTAAAGACATATAATACTATTGTTTGTGGAAACACCACGTAAATTTATTACTGCAAAGCTTTCGATCCGTAAGCCCGGATCTTCATCAGTGCTGATAATATGTGACTTGTTCAATTATAAAAAGATGTGTGAATTGAACAAGTCACATATTATTAGCACTGATTAACATCCGGGCTTATGGATCAAAATCTATGCAGTAATAAATTTACGTGGTGTTTCCACAACCAATAGTAGTATATGTTTTATCGCCATGCAAACCTACAAAGAACTTAAATTAAAGACAACTGCTCAGTTCGTGACAAGGAAACTTCAGAATATTTTTGTAACATACTTGATTCCATAGTTCTTCAAACTGTGCCATGCCACTCAAGACCTGCTTCGCATCCATTTTAAATGAACTGATGATGGAATTAAGCACGATAACGACTTTCACGACATCTTTGTGTTCTGAGACGAGTCTGTACAAAGACTTGATGACAACAGGAGGTATGGGTTTGCCTTCTTCAACCACAGGAGCTGGTGGCTGATGGATTATGTCGTGTTTCTCCCATTGGTACACACGCTGTAAGGTGACAGAATTTGATCATTGTTGGATACTTGTCCTGAGCTATGTATAATAGTAACACTCCAGGGACCGGTTGTATAAAACTCTTAATCACTTTTTTAATCACTATTTTGTAGTTAAATAGTGATTAACTCTCAAATACACGCTTCTCATTGAGTTATTGGATGAAGTTTCCACTAACTATATAGTTAACTTTAATCACTTTTTTATACAACCGACCCCAGTAGGGTACGGTTTGGTATGGTATGGTGGTGGGTGGTATGGCATGGTATGTTGTGGTATGGTATGTATGGCATGAATAGGCGAGGCATGGTATGGCATAATGCGGTAAATGACATGGTATGGTATGGTGGATTGATGTGTGCACGAATGGTATGGTGTGTATGTTCTGGTGATGAAATGTTATGGTAAGGTAGAATATGACACGACAATGTATGGTATGGTATTTCGCATTGCATTCTTATACTTTTCTACTGAAACGCAATGCCCCTACCTGTGTTGTCTTTAACATAATTTGAACGGCTTTATTAAGGGCATGTTGGATATCATCTACACTTGGTTTCATCTGTACTGCAGGGATTGCCAAGATAATCTCAGCCTATAAAAAGAGAGAGTAATCAAGTAATGATTCGGACTATTAGTAAAACCACTATTTGCTGCAAGATTGTGCTTAGTGAAATCCATCTATTCCATTTAGATACAAGCTAGGTTAGAAAAGAGAGAGTATGACATTTAGTAAATTTACCTTAAACAGTGGTAATTTTGCATGTTCATGAGAGAGATCGCTCATATATTTACTGGAAGACTGTACATAGCGCTTGATAAAGTCCAAAGAAATTCTCGTACATTTGACGATTGCATCTATTGTCTTTTGATTAAAGAACACGATAAGGTTCCAGTAACAGCATGGCATACACTCCCAACATCTGCTTCCTTTACTCCCTTTCACTTGTTTCGCCTCAGGAATAAGACAACGATACACCTCGTCTTCTAAGCCGCACAGATCTTGTGCACTGAGACGACCTTTCAATGTTGCTAACAGTAAGTCCACTGCTGACTCTATTAGACGACTTTGCCTGCAATCACAGAATATTGCACAGATTTAACTATCACTTAAAGCCTGCTTCACACTTAAAGCCTGCTTCACAATATTCTATCGAGGTTTTTCTCCTCCTAGAAAATGTGATCGAGCAGGGGTGGATTTATAGGGGGGGGGGGTGCACAGGGGTGCGCACCCCTGTTGGCACAATTTCCAAGGTTTTTCCTGTTTTTTGAAGTCAAACTGAAGCTCATAATTGACCATTTGCGTAATAGACTAAATTTTGATCTCAACAAAAATTTCATTACAGCTTGAAAGAGCATCACAAAATTAGTAATATTCCAAAATTTCGTTGCAAAATGTTGTAAAATGCGGAAAATATAGCCTTGCGAAATTTGCAATTTTCAGTCATTTTAGATTACAAACCAGAAATTGACAGCCTCGAAGGGTTTGGGGCTGTCAATTTCCCGTTTGTAATCTAAAATGACTGAAAATTGCAAATTTCGCAAGGCTATATTTTCCGCATTTTACAACATTTTGCAACGAAACTTTGGAATATTACTAATTTTGTGATGCTCCTTCAAGCTGTGATGAAATTTTTGTCTAGACTTGTTTAGTTCAAAATTTAGTCTATTACGCAAATGGTCAATTCAATGCACATATCGCAGAAAATGGCATTTCTAGGGTTCTAATTTTCAAAATTTTCTGGGGGCATACCCTGAACTCCCTAAGGAGCTCGTGCCTTCGGCGCTTGAGTCATTAGGAAACCAATTCATTAGAAAGCCAATTCATTAGAAAGCCAATTCATTTTAATGCCGTCCCACCACCCCCTAAAGAATTATAAAGAAACACTTGGCTGCTCGCACAGCACC